CTAAGTAACAGAGCCAGACCTTGTCAATAAATAAAAAAAAAAAAAAAAAAAAAGTAAATAAAGCAATAGCAGATACTCTTCTCAAAAATTCATAACCCAACTCAAATTGTGAGAAAATATCTAAGGAGCATTCTACAAAATACTGAGACGCTGTCACAGCTTTGAGGAGCCTATGGAGATAACAGTCACTAAATGTAATGCTGAGTCCGGGATGAGATCCTGGAACAGAAGGAAGATAGTAATGGAAAAAGGGGTGACATCAAAATAAAGTCTGTAGTTTGTTTTGTGCTAATATTAATCTCTTCTTTTTGACAAAGTACCAAGGTTATATAAGGTATTAACATCAGGGAAAATGGGGTGGGGAAGTTTTGTACTACCTTCGCAACTTTTTTGTAATTCTGAACTATTAACCAATTATGCAATTAATAGGAAAAAAAAGGACCTCCTAATATAGGGAAAATAATTTACAATGTATTGTTGATGGCCATAGGAGATACAAATAAATGCTAGTATAGACAGATGGTCAAAGATGAGAGGTCTTGATATAATGTTTTCAGTTTTCTCTAAATTGCTGGGTGGATTTAATAAAATGTCAGAATCTCAATAGGATAGTTCATCAAACGTTAAAAGCTGCTTCTAAAAATTATTTGAAAGATGGTGGGCTAAGAGTCAGGTACTTTTGAAAGGCAAGGTAGGGCCAGACACTTTTGAAAAACAAGGTAGGGCAGTCATTCTTTCAGATACCAAGATACTGTAAAGCTGTAATAATATGGTGCCTTAATGCACAAGATACAGATATGGCTCAAGGCACCAACAAGAGAGTTTAAGCACAGACCCACTCATACACAGAAGCATGATACAAAGTCATAGGAAAATTAGATCCCTAACATAGAACATAGGCAAAAACAGCTGTAAAGAAAACTAAAATGTACAACATTTGAATATCTTTATGACCTCTGTGTGGGGAAGAATTTCTTAAATTAGACATAAAAAGCAGAAATCTGAAGTAAAATAATGTGAAATTTTACAGCACCTATTAAGACAAAAGATAATGTTGGCTCTTCTAATTTTGTTAATGGTACAGATTTTGGACTTTAAATGCAGTTGAGGTGGGGAGCAGAAGGTCATTCAAGCTGGAACATGACATCTTTTTTACCTTGAAAAATTCCCCTTTATACTATATGGAGAATACTGGAGGGAGGGTTTGGAATGGAAGAAGGGTTTTTGCAGGAAGATGATGTTGCTTAGGATTACCATGGAAAGGGAAATCATGGGACAAATTTGGGATTTGTGTTAGATATAGGAGCAGCAAGACCTGCTGATAAATTGGATGTTGGTGGTAAGGAAAAAAGGAACAAGAACAATTGTGAGGTTTTTTGTTTGTTTGTTTTTTTGTTTTTTGTTTTTTGGCTTCAGCAACTGGTACTGTTTACAGAAATGAGGAAAGGGGAAATTAATATTTGTTTTAAATGCTTTGAGTTGCTTGATAGACATCCAAGGGGAGCAGTCAGTTTCCAAGCAAAAGACTGCGCTTTTGTGGACAGTCCTGTGGCAGAGGATTGGAATTTGGGAGCCATGGGCTTGTAGGTGGCATTTAAATCATGTGACTAGGTGAGGAGGGAAGGGTTGCTACCTAGGGAATGGACATTGATGGAGAAGACTAGTGACTAAGTTCTGAGGCAAGACCCTCCAGTTAGAGCAGAAGCCATTTATGACTGAGAAGAGACCACTGCCATGGGGGGAACCAGGACTATGTAATTGTCACCAAAAGTAAGAGAAGATAGTATGGGATTTTGTTTTTGTTTGCTTGTTTTAATGAGGATGTTGAATGTTACTGAGCAATCAAGTGAGATTAAGAGCAAGTTTCTTGGCCACATAAGGAATTGCTGAAATTGTTGAGCAATTTCAGTGGGTTTGGAAGGGATGGAAGCCTGTGGGGCATGCATGTTAACAGGAGAGAATGTACGGTAAGACTGTTGAGTCAGTGACAGTAGACCACTCTATCAAGAGGCATTTTCAGGGCCAGGAGGTGCTTAGTAAGGGGGTGGTAGCTGCAGGAGCTCTGAAAGCATGTGGAGTCTGGTGGGAAGGAATGATCCAGGATCCAGAGAGAAACTGATATTGCAGATAGAGGCCTTTGAGGAGAGAGGGGGATGATGGAGTCCTTAAAATATGTTAAAATCACCTATAAAACCTTAACCACACATTAGGATCGCCGGGGACCTGAAAAACAAAGATCCTCTGGTGGACACTGGGAATCTGCATTGTTTAACAGCTCTCCAGGTGAGCCTAATGAGTAGCCAGATTTGAATATCTGTAACTTAAATAAGGCTGCTATCATGTTCATCTTCAGTCTTTCTGCTGGAGAACTTGTTTTGAAGGTGTGTTTTCATAAGCACAGCGTTTTCATTCGTATATTATATTTATGTGGCACTGCGGGGCAAAAAGAGACTCTTGATGGTCTGGGGAGTCTAAAAAACATAAAGCAGATTCTCAGTGTAGCAAGCAGCCACTGATAACTCTTTGAATATAATATCAAGTTTAATTTGAGATATTAAAGTCTGTGTGCTCCTTAGGTAAACACCTTTTGGTAATGAACCATGTCTTACAGATTTTTTTTCCTTTAAAATCATACAGCATTTTTATTGGCCACTTAAAATCGTGCTGTGTAAATTTACTAGAATACAGTTTAATTCTTTTCCATGGAGCACATTTTTGGCAATAAAAATGATGCCCTGTGAATATCCCTGTATAGAATCTTCTGTATGTCTCTGTATTTTCTTTGCTTTTTTAGTTCTTTGAGAGTGGAGTAGTTGGACCAAAGAGTACATTAGTGAACTTTTAGTAATTCATTGATTTTACTGCCAGAGAAGAAATACCTATTTCTGCCAAGGAAATTCACAGTGTGGATGGCAGAAGGGAAAAATCCGTCTTCCACCCCACATTCCTTGTCCCTAGAGGTAACCCATTAACAATTTCTTGCATACCTTTCCATAAGTTTTACCTGTATTTACGTTTATCCTTCAAAAACAAATAAATGAGAAAACACTTACCAGTTGGTTTCTACAAACTTCAGTAACTTGTATATTTCACTAAGTCTATTGAGAGTTCGGTCCTTAATAATCCCATACAAGCCTACCTCATTATTTTTATCTCTCATTTTCTTGCTGTTTTACTAAATGGCATGCAGTGGGCTCACACCGTGGAAGGTCTGTATTGACGGCTGGTGGGAAACAACTCAGTAGTGTGTGAGACTGCCCGCTCCCATAAACTGTACGTGCCCGGTGTTTCAGGTTTGCATTTCTTTATGCAAGTAGTCAGGTCGCGATGTTTCCTTCGCAGGTTGGCCAGCCGTTTGCATTTTTTTGCGAATTGCCAGTTTTCTCCCCTTTGCCCGTTTTTCTGGCTTGGTTTGGTCTTTATCTCGTTGGTTTCCAAGAGCTCTTCATTTATTAAGGACATTAGCTCAGTGTCTTTCATGTGTCCCAGGCGGAAAAGTCTTGTCTTCCCTGTAGGTCTTTAGAAGTTAATGTATATGTTTTTTGCGGGCAGGATTTTCATTTTCTTCATTTAGACAAATGTGTACATTTGTCTCTTTATTCTTCATTGGTTTTACATATGAGCATTAGTTGGCTTTCCTCCGTTTCGACTCCCATTTCTTTGTTTGGGGGCTGCACCCCCACTACCCAGCTCACCCCCTCACCCCCCTTTTCCAGACCTGGCCTTGGGATCCCTCACGGCCACTCCCTGACGTCAACCCCCAGCCTTCGCGCCAAGCTGTTGCTGTGGCAACCGCAGCCTGATTGGCACGTCACGGGGTCGTGGTGAGGGGCCCGGAGAGGGGCCCTGGAAAGGGCGGCGAGGCCGCTGATTGGCTGGCACGGAAGCCCCGCCTCTGCGGAGGAGCCCTGACTAGGAGGCGCTGAGCTGCCCCTCGGTGCAGACGCCTGGGAGCCGCGGGAGGAGAAGTTTGGGAGGCTGGGCGCGGGAGATGTCCACCCTGGGCTGGTGGCGCCGCCGGGCGCCGGGCGCCGTGTGGGTGCACTAGGCGGCTGTTCGCGCCTTAGGCTGCGCTGCCCTGAGGTGAGGTGAGTGCACCTTCAGCTGCTCCACGCGCCTCCTGCCCGCCGGACCTTGGTGTCGCGATGGTGCTGGGCCAGAGCGGCCGTTTTGCGGCAAGACCCCCGCGGCAAGCCAGCGATCTTCGTGGTCAGGCGGGCTGGCGGGCACAGCACATGGCCGCCCGCTTCCCAGGCCGAGAGTGGGCACCGCGGCGGCCGGGCAGTCCATGCTGTTGTTCTGGGGCAGGGGTGGGCGCAGGTAGGGGCGAGCGCGGCCCGGGCTGCCACGGCGGTGCCGCCATCTTGCGGGTTGGGGTCTGAGGGACTGCTGCAGGGTCTCCGCGACTTCTTGACTGTGCGCGGCCACCGCAGCAACCCCGGGGCATTAGGGCGGACAGCGGGGGCTTTGTCACGGCGAGTCCAGCAAGGTGGACACCGGTACCATGCCTGTTGCCGCGGCAGAGTGCGGCTCTTAGAAGCCTCGGGCTTCCTGGGCTGGGTCTGGGGGCCTCGAGGATGCCCCCTCGTGCCCGCTGCCATCCGGCTTGCCGTGCCAGCATGCCCAGCTGCCCTCTGGGGGCGGGACTTGTTTGCCGCAGTGGTGGTGGGAGGGGCGAAGGCCACCAAGGGGGCGGGGTGGAGGGCTGGCCTGCTTGCAAGACATTTTCTTTCTCCGCCCTCTCGGACTCTCTGGGGTTTGCTGTGCAGGCGCTGCCCTGGTTGGTTGGCGGTAGATGGGGCGGGGCAAGGCTGATGTGACTGTGGGTGGTGGTGGATGTAATGGTCTATTCAAGCCCCACCCACTGGGTGCCATCTTTTAGGAGGGTGGCTGAGGTTTGCCAAGCAGGTGGTGTTCTGGTTGATTGGCAGCAAATGGGGCGGGGCAGGGCTGAAGTGAACATAGTATTAGATGTGATGTTCCTCAGGCCCCGCCCACCTGGGCGCCATGTTTGATGGGGGCTGCTGAGGTTTGCTGCACAGGCTCTGCACTGGTTGGTTGGTGGCAGATGGGGCGGGGCAAGGCTGAAGTTACTGGGTAGTATTAGATGTAACTATCTGCTCAGGCCCCGCCTACCAGGACACCATGTTTGATGGGGGCTGCTGAGATTTACTGCTCGGGATCTGCCCTGGTTGGTTGGTAGCGGATGGGGCGGGGCAAGGCTGAAGTGATTGCGTAGCATTGGATGTAACGTTCTCAGGCCCCACCCACCTAGACGCCATGTTTGATGGGGGCTGCTGAGGTTTACTGCGCAGGATCTGCACTGGTTGGTTGGTAGCGGATAGGGCGGGGTAAGGCTGAAGTGACTGCGTAGCATTGGATGTATCGCTCTGCTCAGGCCCCACCCACCTGGACGCCATGTTTGATGGGGGCTGCTGAGGTTTGCTGGGCAGGCTCTGACCTGGTTGGTTGGTGGCAGATGGGGTGGGGCAAGGCTGACCGGACTGGTTTGCATTGGATGTAATGTTCTGCTCAGGCCCAGCCCACCTGGGCGCCATGTTTGATGAGGGCTGCTGAGGTGTGCTGCACTAGCGCTGCCCTGGTTGGTTGGTAGAAGATGAGGCGGGGCAAGGCTGAAGTGACTGGGTGGCATTGGACATGGCGGTCTGTTCAAGCCCCACCCACCTGGGCGCCATCTTTAATAGGGGTGGTTGAGATTTGTTACGCAGGCGCTGTGCTGGGTGGTTGGGTGGGGCAAAGCCAAAGTGGTTGCAGTTGGAATTGGTTGGAATTGGACGTGACCGTGGGCTCAAGGCCCGCCTGCCTAAGCGCCATCTTTGTTGGGGGCGGCTGAGGTTTGCTGTCCAGGCGCTGCTTGGGTTGGTTGGTAGCAGATGGCGGGAGCAAGGCCGAAGTGGCTGCAGGTGGCATTGGACTTGACTATCTGCCCAAGCCCCGCCCACTTAGCCACCATATTTGATGGGGGCGGCTGCGGTTTGCCGCATAGATATAGGCGTATCTACAGGGAGTGGTGGGCTGCGGCAGCGGCGCTGGCCCTGTCCACGTTCATGGAAAGCTGTGGAGTGCCGCGCTCCTTTCACTGTCTGTGCTGGTTGCAGGGCTGTTTAGTGAATGGGACTGGCTAGGTCCCCGCATCTGGTGGAGCAGGAAGAGTTGCCTAAAGTTTGCCGTAGTGTCCGCAGAGCCATTTGTCCTCAAGGACAGGGCGATGGGTTGTTAGCGCGCCCGCTGTGTTTTTGGCTCACCCCTTCCCCTGTTGTCTGACCAAGACTTTGTTCACCTCAGATGTATCTGGCTGTATCTTGTGTCTGGGGCGGCTTGGCGGGGAAGCTGCAAGGCGTGTTGCGCAGGTGCCCTGCTTGTGGGGTTGAGGGCTGGGACCACGTGCCGTCCTTCGGGACTCACCCGGCCGAGAGGAACCCTGCCTCGCTGATACTGTCTGTACTTGCCGCTGAGGGGCGCCTGAGGTTGACTGCGCAGGCGCCGTCTTGAGTGACACCCGGGGGGAGCATGAGGGAGGGCTGTCTCAGTTGCTGGGGGTTGCCTAGCCTGGTCCACCCTGGCGCAATCTTTGGCCACAGTGGGGCACATGAGGACTATTACACAGGCGGTGTTTTGAAGGGCTGCTGGGTCGGCTGTAGGGGTGGATGCAGATGACTGAGTGACTGTCAGGGGCTGCATGGCCCCGCCCACCCTGTGGCATCGTCTTTGCCGGCCATTAGGTGGCAGCCAAGGTGTACTGTGCGGGCACTGTCCTGAATGATGGCTGGGCTGACTGCAGGAGCGGGCCTGAGGGAGGGACTGCCTTGTCTTGAATGACTGATGGAGGCCGTAGCATGTGTGTCTTGTCTGATGGAGCAGCCAGGCTTCAATGCGGCAGGTGCGCTGTGCAGGCGCCACGTTGAATGACAGCTGCCCTGGCTGTAGGAGTGGGCATGAGCCCCGCCCATCGTAGCCCCACTTGTGTTGCCAAAGGCGGGGCAGCAGAGGCGTACTGCGCAGGCGCCATCTTGAGTGACAGCAGGACTGTTGGGAGGGGGCTGAGGGGATTTCATGGTAGGCGGGGCCGTAGAGCCACGTTCATTCATTCTGTGCCATCTTTGTCGGCCGAGGGGTGGGGCCTGTGCGGGAGCCTTCCTGACTGACTGCTGGCTGTACTGGCTTGCCCGCTGAGCCCTGCTCCGCTTTCTTGGGCAGGGTGCCTTCAAGGCTGGTGGCACCGTGCTTCCTCCAGGGGGCGCCAGAGCCAGGCCTTGGGAAGCGGGCGGGTTCAGCTACGCAGCCTTGGGTCATTGAGCAGAAAAGTGGGATCCAAGGCCAAATGTAGACGTTTTAAGAGATTCGGGGAAGGGTTTTAAGTGAGAAAATGGAGAAGTGGGCGGTGATTCGGAGGCTCTAGGGTTTGAAGGACTTTCACTCAAAATTCTACAGCTTGAGGTAGAAAAATTTAGGGCTGCAGGTGGTCCTGGGAGGGGCAGTGCATGGGAACCAAGAGGCTGCACTGAGCAGGTCGGGGTGTGTTTGAAGGGGCTGCCCATGTGTAGGGTGGGGCCATGGGAGAAACTGTTCATGCGCAGTGCCGCTAGAGGGCTGCACAGCTTCGAAAGCTGAGTTTGTTTGGGTGGGGCCCTCCCGGGGGCCTCCCAGTACTAGCTCTCCTACAGGTGTTCTTTAGAGATGCAGTAAGTCACTGTGCCCAACTCTTGAATAGTTTTTAATAAGCTCTTTAACCTCACCAAAATATGCTCATGTGACTCCTGGAACATAAACCATTCCCATAATCATGAAGCTCCTTCCCTGTGGGACCTCTAATTGATTAAACACATACTGTGAGGTGCAGTAGAACTTGAACTTTGTCCTGTTAGTCCACTGAGAGCATGTTGATAAACCCTTAAAATATTTCACATGGTCATCACTAATAATACTGATAGGATTATTATCAATAATAATACATGATTATCACTAATAATAATATTAACATGGGAATGGCCAGTGCCATAAATGGAATTCTTGAATTGATTCCTTAATGGGGCTCCAGAGAAGGTTTTAAGACACCCCAGAAATTGACTTGAATGCCTCTGACGTAGCCTTGTTGGAGAAAGTCTGTGAGTACATCCCAGGGTGTGAGGTGGTTTAAGTGAGCTATACCCATAGCCATTCATCTGAATGGGATGCTCTTCATGGTCTCATTTGACCTGTGCCATTATAGACAATAAATGTGGAACTGTTATAGATTGTTTCCAGCCTGAGGAACCTAGTAACTGCAAACTAAATTTGGCGTGTCACATTTTCTTTTCCTCTACAGCTTTGTCTTCTTGATCCTCCATCCTTCTTGGAGACAGCTAGGAAGAGGAAGGAGGATTAGGTCCAAACACTAGGTGGCTGGGTCCAGGTGAGTTGAACTTCCTCCTCACAGTGCCACATCCATCTTTGGAGTGACCACCACACTTCCTTACTCTGACACTTTCCTACCGCACACATGTTCCACATAGCCACGCCAAAACCATTTGTACCTTCTGAGAATACCCAGACTCTTCTGGTGGATTGTGCATTCACTAGAAATTCTTTTTGTCTTCACACCATCCATTTCAGTATCCTCCCTCTTTTTCCCATATTCAGCTATCCTTCAGGCCTACTCTTTTTCTCTTACCTGGTGATTAAAGAAGCATGAGAGATTCATTGACTCAGCCCCACTGCGGGGAAAGGAAGTGTTTTCACAGAGTTTTTAGTCTATTTGGGAATTAAAGCTGTGGAAAACATAATTGTTTGATTTATACCTTTGCAAGAAACCATCTGCTAGCAACAACCAACTTAATCTTAGAGAGGCCACATAGGGGCCTCCCTGAAATGGTCAAGAATGTTAAAACTGAGCCCTGAAGGAGGGTGAATGGTGTGTGTCATGGGGAGAATAGTCTCAGCAGAGAGGATAGGGATGTTCTTTAGAGATGCAGAGAGAGGAGCTGAAAATCCAATATTCCTAGAGCAAGGGAATTGTTGAGTGGCATCTGACTGAGGTAGGAAAAAGGTAAGTTGGGCCTTCATCGTGAAAAGCCTTGTAATTTGTGATAAGTAACTGGGCTTGACCTGAAGTGCAACGGGAAGCCCTTTTCACCATGGGAGTATCATGATAATCAGATTTGTGGTTTTAAAAAGATCATCTGGTTATAGGGTGCAGAAGGGAAGTGTGGATGCAGTGGGTGTGGGGAGACCACCTTGGGCCTGGGTGAGAGATGGTGGCTTGGCTTGTGGTCATATCACAGAGAGGAGTGAAGTGGGTAGATTATTTGCAAGGTACTGAGGAAGGAGATTCCGCAAGACTCACTCTCTTTGTTCATGGCCTGCTGACTGATTCAGAGCAGATGCAGTAAGTCACATGACATGGGGAAGCAAACACATAGCCAGAGGTTGGTTGTTCATTTGTTAGTAAGCATTGATAGTGGGCCTGATACAGGACAGTATCATGCCAGGCTTGGACTCTCCAAAAGTAGGTGACATAATCCCTGGCCTCAGTGTCTACTGAATGGAAACTTCCATCACAAGAAGAGTAAGGATGTATTTACCAAGATAGGTGGCTATGGTGGTGGTGAAATACTGCTTGGGGAGAGGCAGAGGGCCCTTAGGATGAGTTGGTATATTCCTGGCCTCAGTGAATGCTCAAGATATCTATTATAGTGCTTAACCCTGTGGAAACTTGCAAACCCCCTTTTCCTGAGGGCTTATGGTAGATCCACATTTAACTAAGCTCAGGAGACTTTAAACCGTACTGACATGTGACTTGAAATAGAATGTTCCTGTTCCCACAATTCTGGTTTATTAGTTCAGTAGCAGGGACCCAAGTACTCAGCAGTGTGTTATGATCAGCAGATTCTCTCCCTGTAGGCAGACCTACATGGGATACAACCATAATGAAAAGATCGCTTGGTGAGTATGGGGTCAGAACCAAGAGAATGTGGGTGAGCTTTAATAGCACTGGTTTGTAACATAGCCTAGTACAGCCGTGTGGTCACAGTGAAACCCTTGCTTAGGGTTACCAAGATACCAGAAGCCCCTTACCTAACACCCTTGCCCTCCCCAAACTCCATTCAAGTTAGGTCTGATGAGAGTTGTTCACTCTCCTGTAGATGGTTGGATGGACCATGCTTGGTGGCCTACTTTTTAGTACTCCCACCTCTTAAAAAAATAAGATCAGCCAATTACTATTGTTAGAATATAATTGTCAAATAACTCATACTCTTCTGGAAGACATTTTATCTTTTTAAAGTAGCTTTATTTGTCTTGAACCATTTTATACTAATCATAAGACTGAACACTTAGGTATTATTTCCTCTTTTTCTAAACTTTTGGTTAAATCTCTCAAGGATGGACAGCAACAAGGAGATTTTGCTGCAGTGTGGTAAGTGCTAAGCTTAATGTGATAGAAGTAAGCCCAGGATGTTGAGATTATCTGAGAGAAGCCAGCCAACAGACCAGAGGGTAGAGGTCATGGCCTGTGAAATGGAGTTAGTGGTCATTTACTCCTTGCTCCCATGTAAAATTGTTCACCTAGAGTTCCTATGTCCATATGTACCTTATTCATAGGCGATTGGATCAGACTGGTTACCTTAGAGCAGTGGTTCTCAAAGAACAGCTCCCAGAGTGGTTGTAGGAGTGCTTCTTTCCTGGGGAACCACAGACCTCCTCAGTCATCCCACCTGGAAAGGTAGCTTCATTTTTCACAAGCACCCTAGGTGACTCTTCTGCATGTCTGAGTTTGAGAACTACTGCTCTAGAAGGAATCAGGCTGTAGCATGCACTTTCAAACTGAGAATTTGGATGAAGGGACGCTGAGTGTCGGGCATTTAAACTGGGAGGTGAGGTAGGCCTGGGCTGGGACAGCATCTTACTCCATGTGCATGCTGAAGTGGAGAATGTCGGTCTGCAGAGAGAGGCAGGAGAATGGAGCAAACAAGAAGAGAGACGAGACCACATACCACGCTGTCCCTGAGAGACGAAGAGACTAACATCCTCGGTTCCTGACTTTAAAGTTCTCAATTCCAGCCCCCTTTTAATGAGGTAGGTAGAATAAGTTAGGGGGCTGAACCTAGGTGCACCATGGTGAGGTACCAAAGTAAGTAAATAGAAATGGGACTGAAGGAGACTTGGTGGATTTTCTCCTGCATCAGATGGGATGTGGGAGCCTGAGGCCAAATGGGGCCACAGGATTTTTTCACACATGGGCTCAGATGCATTCTCGCTCATGATGTGTTCTTTAATTAAGTTCTTCCCTGCTCAGCTGAACACTGACCCATCATTTCTCTGATTAAAGCCAAAGATCCTCCCTGACTTATGGCAAGGATGCTTGATGAGTTTCCTCTTTATTATGTATTAATTGTGAGATCCATGCTTTTATTATCTACTCATTTTAATGGAATAGAAGTGTCATGAAATATCCAAAGGTTGGCATCAGTACCACCATACAGACTCCAATGGCAATGCTGTCATGCAGCAGGCAGCACCAAGCTTATTCTGTATACATAGAGATTTCGTGCTTAGACATCTAGTGTAAACAACAGATCCTTTGGAGATCAGAGAATGCCAGACTTCTGGAAGCACCCCTCCTGCCCCGCTGCGTAGAGGGATTCTTTATTAGTGGCCCCATCACTTGGCACCTCTCCCCCCTCCCCTTGAAGTTGGTGGCTTTCCTCAGTCCCCTGGTTCAGAGTCAGCTAGCCCTTGTGTGCCCCCACCTGCTTTTGGCTACTACTTAACACTGAGTCCTGCTCTGAAGAGAAAGCAGAGGGAGATGTGGAAGCTTTAGTAATGAGGGGTGTGTGGGAGCCCACCTTGAAGTCAGGAAGGAGATGGGTTTGCTCTGTGGCCAGAGTTCATTCTTCAGCCATGTGACAGATAGACAGCTGTCAGCGAAGTGACGGTTTGGGTGTGGAGCCTGATGCCCTTTTAGCCCTCTCCGAGGTACAGTCACCAGAGAGGGGAAGTACAGATGGTGACTACAGGGCACCCTGGGTGGGAGTGCTTAAAGGTCAGAGGGAGGTTATATTATGAGGACCCCAGCAGGGAAAGGGGAGGGTCTGATGTACTTTAACAAGCTGAGCAGGAAGGAAAAAAAAAAACACCCTGGGAAGCAGTAATTGAATTTACTTCATTTTTATATTCAGTTTTTTTCTGGATTGTGAAGTTAAAATCACATTTTAAACAGATGGAAAAAGAACTAGAGACTTCTTACTATTAATCATTTATTTTCATAGATTTTCCCTATTAATAGTCTTAATGTAAGTTTGAGTTTTCTTCCAGGTTAGTTTGTATGTACTACTGTATGTTTAAGAAACTATTTTTTTACGTATGTGAGATCATGCCACTTACTAAACCTTTCACACTCAAACATTTCACATATACCCTCCATCTATAGCTTTGCTTTCTGAAAACTGCATTATATTCCATTGTGTGGACATTCTCATTATTCTCTATGTACACATAAATGGTAATATTTGCAGTAAGAACAATGTATGTATAGATTTTAAGATTTAGTAATAGCAACAATTAATTAGTGGGTGTGACTTGCAGTTTTTATGGTGAATATTTTGCAATACCTGAATGTAGTGCTGTGTTTTATTTTTATAATCAGAAAATAAAGCTAGAACATTTCTTGACAACACGACTGAATGGTTATGTAACCTTTTGTTAAATACTTTGTTTTCATTCCTTGTTTAATGAAAACTCAGGAGGGATGCTGATTTTTGGATGCAGTAACTTAGAACAAAGTATGTTTGTCATTGGCCCTAGTGGCCTTAGCCTTCCAGAGATGTATAGTTGAAATAACCTAATTTCTTGGAGGAGGCTCCATGCCACCACCGGTTATATTGGTCTTTCCTAACATCAAAGGCCGACTCTAATTCTAGAAATGCATGCTTGAGTAAACAAACACTGAGGTGTTAGCTGTCCTGTCTTGGCGTTTTTGTTAAAGTTATCCTTTGCCTTTAGTTGTAAGAAAGTTCCTAGTCTGTATTTAAATAAGAAATCGTTTACCAGTACTTTATTATCCATTAAGTCCCGATGTGTCTAAAGACTTTCACCCAGTTGACTTCTGGACTTTGTTATGTCCCAGTGGTATATTTGTCCTTGTGCTTATATCCTTGTGTTGGAAAAAATACTTGATTTTCATGTGTTTGAGTGATTTTACAGACAAACCACCTCCCACTGCCCATAGACCTTGTAGAGGGTTGTCTTAATATTCTTACACATTTATTCTTCCAGAAGAACTGGATTATCAGTTTGTCAAAACTCCCCACCTCAAAATAAAACAGAGCTTTTTAAATGTGATACACGGCTTTATGTATTTATTTCAGACTTATTTTGTGCCCTTCTATAAATTTATTTATTTATTTATTTTGGTGATGCAGTCTAGTTCTTCACCCAGGCTGAAATGCAGGGGCATGATCTTAGCTCACTGCAACCTCCACCTCCCAGGGCCGCCCCTACTACATCAGCCTCTTGAGTAATTTGGATTACAGGTGTGTGTCACCACACCCAGCTAATTTTTATGTTCCTTCTGTAAATTTTTGAAATTTTGTTTGACGTTGCAGATACTTTGTCACGGAGATTTATTTATTTTGCTATTAATGGGAATTATTTCTCTTGCTGTATTTACTCATAAGGTTTTTAAATTCAAAATAATGCTTTCCCTGTATTTATACTTTTCTTTTTCTTCAGTTGCATAAGCTAAGGACTTCCAGGGTCATGTTGAATTGTAGCTGTGGTATAGCTGTCCCTTCCTTGTCCCCACTTCCAGAGGAACACTTTTAGTGTTTAATAATATGCTTGTTTGCATTTATTTGAGATAAGTCTTTATTATGCTTAGATGTCTCCTGCTTTTACTCTTTGCTAAGAATTTATGAGGAAAGGTTATTGAAGTTTGCAAATGTTTTTTAACTTGAAATACTGCTCATGGGCTCCCCTCCCCCTTTCATCTGTTGTGTAATAGTTTACACTGATGGGACATCCTCCTTATATTCCTGGAATAGCCTTTCACAGTCATGGGCTATTACTCGGACTTTGTTAGATTCGGTTTATTAAATGTTTTTGCACCTATGTGCAAATAACATATATTGAACACCTATAAAAATACAGAGATGAAAAAGGTAACAGAGCCTTGTCCACGGGGCTCTGGAGTAGGGTATAAATACAGGTGTTCTGTTCTGTTGGATTCACATATCTTCAAGCACAGCTCTGATTAATTGGCTGCCCTTTTTTTAATGGCCCATTTAGGCCATCCTTTGGCAGACTAACTCCTCAGCCTTAATAGTTCATTTGATAGCATCAGGCAAGCCTTTAGACCTTTCTTCCTCTCAGCCGTCTGCAAACACTTATCTTCTGTTTTCTTCAGTGGTAGGCATGGCTGTTGCCATGGAGAAGCTGTCCTGGGGAAGTGGGGGCCAAGTGGGTAGAGCAGTTATGCTTTTGATTGGCCAGACTTGCTGTCACAGAAGGAGGTCACCTGGGATCTGGTCTTCCCCAGCCAGGGTGAGGTAAGTATGGGGCCCTGGCAGGTACAAATTCAGCATCTGGCCCCATTGCTAGTTGCCCTTTTGGCGGTAAGTAGAGGACAGTGTGAATCCAAGGCTAAGGGTTGGGTCACTTGGCCAGGAAGGCATATGGCACACCTTGTGTCAGGTACCCCTGCAGGAGAATGTTAACCAGCACTTCCTGTTCCTGCCTTTGGCTCTGGGTTGTTCTGATGTGACTTGTGTTAGGACTGTGGTTACATAGCAATAACATAACAACAGAACACGCTTCCCTCTCAGTGGCACTCACCCCTTCCCACCATTCCATGTGTAAAATGTGTCACCTGCTATTACTTTGTGCTCAAGGTTTTACCTTTTTCAAACCAGAAATTAGCTGCACATAAAAGGGTTAAACTGTAGTGTGCAACTGACTTTTTTTTTTTTTTTT